TTAAATTATTTCACAAAAACTGTACGACCGCATGTGAGTCATTGACATAATATCGGCTTACTTCGCAATCTAATACTTTCAATGAAAAATAATCCCGACGTTACGTTGAGCCGGAAAAAGCATCATGTAATATGTAATAGGTACACATACTTTTTATTTATTATATCTAATGAAATGTATTACTTAAACTAGTACTATAAATATCATCATCATCAGCCCATCAGAGCTCACTGCTGAGCAAATTCCACATCTCACATTGAGAAGGTTTGAGCATTAATCACCACGCTTGCTCAAGAATGATTGGCGATTTCAAACATATAATTTGAAATTGTAAGTCCAGGTTTCCTCACGATGTTTCGATTTTAATTAGGAATATAAAATGCTTGTAAATCTACACTATTACTATTGAGTTGAATCGTATGAAAAATTATGAAAATAAATATAAAAATAGATACCACTGTAGATACCAGTATATTTAATTCTTCCAGCTTAATAAAACCTCTTATTACAAATTGAAGGATTTATTTTGTTTTCAGAACGAACGTTAATAGGATTACTTAATTCTATTACGACGAGTTTACAATGATGTTCGTGTGAATTATTCTTTGAAATAAAGATCTAATGATTTAAGACGAGATTTAGAACATTTATTATGTATACAGTGCAATACTAAAAATAGCCAAGACTTAGTATTGTCACTAGCTTATTCATTTATTAACGCTTTAAGCATTATTAACACTTACCTTATGTTCTCATTATGAAGGCACTTTTTTATAGTTTTGCATATCATACCATTAGTAATACGTATTACTATCGGTATGAACGTACACCTTATTTATAAGGATTGAAAGATTAGTCACACTTAACTATGATAGTTTTCAGTCAACTTGTATCATATTCTTACAAGTTTATATCGTCATACTACAAACAAAACGTTTGCCGTTTCTCGTGCAACAACTTATACTGTTTAATGATAACGTATTAATTAAAAACTGTTCCTTTGAAGTGTGGTTAACGTGTGGTTATCATATAAGTCACTTAACTATTAAGTTTCATACTTTCAGCAATCAATACAACACCTTCCGGGTGTACAACCCTAGCTAGTTTCTGTTATAAGTTTCAGCGTTGATAATGGTTTGTTTTCGCAGGTCGTGGGGTGGCTGGTTACTATGGCAACCGGAAACATAACAAACCCATAAACCACCGGGTGAGTAGAACAATTACATGTTTTTTTAACTGCGGTTAAACCAAGGTCGGTCTGATTCGAGTTTCGTGACTGAAACTTTTCGATAATTTGAATTTTAATAAGCATTTCTTACTGTTGTTGTATAGACAGACTTGGTTTACAGGGGTTTTTCTTTTCGAGAAAAGCTGTCTTTCGTACACAATATATTTTATTTTAACAATACTTTAATTTACATTTTACTGAAAAAGTCCTATTTTTATTGTAATAGTCATCTGTTGGTTAATAAACAAAAAGGGCTTCTATATATTTTTTAATTATCATTATTTTATATAGATGTACAAAAAAGCAACGATAAATAATTTTGAATATTTTTAAAACTATTGTTTCTAATCAATCTAATCTTATTTATAATACAATTTAATTTATCACTAACAAATTACTCCCTCGTAAAATTTTCGTACAAAATTTTTAATTCATATTTTTTGTGTTTCAAACTGTAAAGATATATAATTTATGACGGAGATGTTTCTAATCCGTTTAATATTCAACTGAGATCATTAAAGCGGATGTTTCAGCTTAATTTAAATTTTTAATTATCATTTTACAGTTTTATACGGAACAAGCAACTGTACTCGTATGAAACACGATTTATTTCTATTACTATTGTACTCATTGAATCTAAGAATAAACAAATTATATATATAGAAAGATGGAGTAATGAAGATTTTTTTTAAAGTTTTATTGAGCTTCTTACATACTTAATTACATACTGTACGTACACTTGAAAATCAGTATCCTTACAAGTTTACGTATATATATTTGTGAACAATAATTTGCAAATTATATATTGAAAAACTAAAAAACTCTGTATGTATGTATGTCATATGTGATAATGCATACTTGTTAGAATTCTGATCTTATAGATATGTACATATGATATCTCTGTTTTATGTTCTACAAATAACAGGAATATAATTTTAATGCATGAATTATATGTCAATTATAAATGTTTAAAGGTTCATTAGCTAGATTCAAAATGTATTTATATTAGCGTTTTTTATTTATACAATTCAAATAGTTTATTATTCGTATATTGCGCGATATTGTGTATATATTGTGATGATTCTGTATACAGATAATACCGATACCGTACTTTCTTTGAAGTATAATATTTTATTATAAATATCATCCTTAAATTAATAAAGAAAATTATTGACTAATAAATTATGAATTTGTGTGACATGAAATGATTTTCATACATTTCATTGTTGTTACTATCAAAAAGTAATAATTTTTTTTTATGTTTACTCTCATTATATTACCTACACACAGTTTCCGTAAGATTGCCTACATTTTTTATATAAATTCAACGCACGATTCCCAATGATGAGTTCACGTAATTCGTGACTCAAGCTGGAACTAAATGCTGTAAAAAAATGATTTTATTTGTGAGAATTCACTATTCAGGAATATATTTACTCTTTTGCAATTTTACTTAAAATATTCTAACAAATTTTATTGGTTTAAAATAACTATACAGGGTGACTGGTGAATTACTATCGATATTTGAGGACGTGATATTTGACGATCATATATGACAAAATAAAAATTAATATAACATAAATATTAATAAACTTCTAAGTAAAGTTAACCAAAAGTTATGTAATTAATTACGCATCGTGTGAACACCCTACAGATTAGGTATACACTGACACTCACACATACGCGTGTCGCGACGTAGTGTTGTATCAGCACGCCGCCGCACGCGTCCACACTTGAACACTTGGAACGTGTCAACACTTTACTTATTTATACGGAAATTTTGTCAAAAATTAAGTGCCTATTTTTTGTACATAATTCGAATGAAAATCATGTACCGAGTATTCTCCTTAAATATTGATAGTAATTCACCAGTCACCCTGTATAATAAACATGCATCATTTAAATATTGTATATAGTTTCAGTACATAATATATTACTGTTAGGTTTGACCTACAATATACTATAATGATTTTAAATTAATTATTTTGGATGTAATTTTTTTTGCTTTATAATGTTAGACTTCATAAATACTATATTGAATTACCTACATATTTTTAAAATAAGTAATCTCTGAATGATTTTTTTTTTTTGATTTTAACAAATTACTACAGTTTGAGTTTTAGAAATTACATTAGAGTTTAATTTAAAATATTTATTTTTGTCTTAATCAAATTTTAATTAATTAAAGAAGCATACCGAAGTACATTCGTAACTGTTCTCATTATCTCGAGAATCTGATTTTCATATCACTTATATAATAATACATTTAATACAAATAAAAACTATTCTCTATATAAAAATACGTATTCCATACAAAACAGTCCACAACGATGTCACTGTCACATTTGACAAACGTTCAGATGAAACTACATCTTCCGTCTCTTTCCATCGCATATTATCTGTATATCGTCATCTCGCTCGCAGCATCCCTATAGATCTGCGAGTCGCCCTTGACCTTCCGCGGGTACACACGCCCGTGACCTTGACGCTAGGTAGGTCCTGTACAGTACTGGGATGTTCTATTGTTGTTCTATCATGAAGTGACGTGATTATTGTATAGAAGTAACACTTCTAGATAAGTCGTAGAATGAAATATAATAGCTAGCATTATGTTGTATGTGGATTATATATGATATAATTACAATATAGATTTAGATTTTTTAAATAACATGAAAGTATTATACAGGTATTCGCTGATTATTATTACTTTTACGTTTCTAGAAGTATTATAAAGTATTTGAGACTATTCTATATTTAGTCATAAAGTTCACCTTCGCTGGTTTTTCCTACCGGTTCAGAATATTATAAGGAAACTGGTAACTATTTAGTTAAATGTATGTTAGAATAGACAGATAGACTATGGTACTATTATAATTGTAACAAAGAAGTTGTACAGTATATATATCCCTAGTAATATTATAAATGTTAAAGTAACTTTGTCTGTCTGTCTATTACGCTTTAACGCCTAAACCGCTGAACTGATTTTAATGAAATTTAGTACAGAGATAGAGTTGACCTTGAGAAAAAACATTGAATAGTTTTTATCCCAGACTTTTGAAAGGTTCCTTTGGAAACGCGATATAATCGAACTCCACGCGGGCGAAGCTGCGGGCGGAAAACTAGTTAAAATATAAAATTTACTAAATAATTAAATGAAACCATGAACCAGTATGAACTATTCTCATTGTTAAATAATAAATGTCTTCATATTTAAATGTTATATAATGATGTATGTATGTCAATCTTTCTAGCTACATCTCGTAAACTAGTTTTAATTATCGATCACGTTGATGAATCTATAAACTAGATACTAATATGAAACAATGTCATAAAAGTAATGAGATCTAAAACTTTCGCCAGTATTCATTTAAATGAAACTATAATTTTTCGGATTACTACGCATAGTTTGTTATTATTAACAGGCAGACGAAATGTCTGACGTGATCATTGTTGCTGAAAAGTAACGAAACGTCGGGAGTATGTGGTTTTTAAAATAATAAAGAACGCGTAGTATATCCGAAAGATATTAGTTTCATTTAAATATCATAAAAGCATTTCGTTCTTCTCTATGTGCTAAATATCCAGGTGTTAAACAGCTTATCTCGGATATATGTATGTGTATGTTGTTTTTGAATCTATGAACTAAATAGAAATCATAAAAGATTTTCTTTCTTCTCCTCTATGTTCTAAGTACGGTGCAGGTGTATTGCAGGTGTGTTATCCAGGTGTATTGCAGGTGTATGCGTGTGTTTCCAGGTGCCAGGCGGTGCGGATGTCGGTGGGCGGCGCAGGGCTAATGTCGTGTGTGCGCGAGGGCTCCCTCGAGCCGCCGTACCGACCGCCGCATGCCGATACTAATACACATGGTAAGGATTAAAATTGTATGACCATTATATTATATGTCATGCTAGCCCAGTGGTTAACAGGCCCGCATCTCGTGCATGAGGGAGCGGGTTCGAATCCCGGCAATGTATGTGATTTTTCCAAGTCATATGTATGTACTTTCTAAGTGTATTTAGACAGATGAAGGAAAATACTCGTGAGGAAACCTTATAATTTCAAAGTATAAGTTTGAGATCACCAACCCGTCTTGCAAGCGTGGTGATTAACGCTCAAACCTTCTCCATGTGAGAAGAAGCCTTTGCTTAGCAGTAGACTCTGAAAGGCTTATGATGCTAATTAAAATAATTCCTATCAGCTGAAAACTGAAAACGGACTACATACTTCGTATTTTTTGTATAGCTTTTGTTATTTTTTTCTATTTTCATCTATAAAACTATCATTATCGTCTATGTCTGTATTCACACTAGACTGTTTTTATATATATTTCTGTATATTTCAAGGCGAGGGTCGCACGGGTCGGTTCTTGCGCGGTCTGCGTCGCATGTTCAAGCGACGCCAGCGGTCCGACTCGCCCGACCACAAGAGTAGTTCCACCAGCGAACTATTGGACCCTGACAGACAGAGGAGGAAGTATGTATACATGAAATTATATAGTGTTTAATCCTACTAATATTATAATTGCAAAAGTTTATGAGTGTGTGTATGTTTGTTACTTCTTCACGCTCAAACGGCTGAACCGAATTGATAAAATTTTGTATACAGGAAGCTGACGTCCAGGAATAACACATAGGCTACTTTACATTCTGGAAATCCACGGGTAACACCGCGGGGCGCAGCTAGTTTATTGATAAATGTAAAAAATATACTTAAAAAGTCGTTAATTTAGATAATAATTCAGCTTAAACTTTCTTCTGATAATTAGCTTCCAATTCAGATACGCGGAATTATCCAATGCTAATTACGCGGTTTTCCACTATCCCCGACGATATAGCATTCAATATGCTTACTATAATGAGATCTAAACCTTTGCGAGTATTCATTTAAATTAAATTAATATTATTTGGATTACTTCGAGTATTATATTATTTTAAACTACATACTCCCGACGTTTCGGTTACTTTTCAGCAACCTATGTTCATATCTCGTCTGCCCGTGATCATGGTTGCTGTGAAGTAGCCGAAACTTTTGTAGTATGTAGGTTTGAAAATAATAAAATACGCCTAGTAATCCGAATTATATAAGTTTCATTTAAATGCGTACTATAAGTTTCTATAGTCTTAGTATTTTTGAATGAAAAACTATTAACGCAACGTACGTAGTGACGTTAACTTAGATTAAGCATGCTATTGAGATATATAAGCAGGTAGGACTGTTTGTTTGTTGTTAGTGTAATAGAAATGGAAATTTGTTTTGGCCATGAACGGCACTCGGCAGATAAATATTTATTAGGATAATCTTTTTGTAACAAACATTTCGGAAAATTACGTCCGCCTGAAAACAAAGTCCTTTTAATTAAATTATAAGACATTCTTCTTAGATAACATGAAGTGATGGTTTTTATCCCATATATTTTCCCTTATTTAAAATAAAAAAGAAAGATCATAGTTAAATTTAAATATAATTGTACTCTAAGACAGTAGTCATTTGTTATGTAGATCAGACTTAAAAATTTTACCCTTTAACAGGTTCCTACATATAGTTTTATGTTTCATTTTTTACGTAAATCATGTAAGAAAAATATGTGATACTAAATATTATACATATGTACAATAAATAAACATTTATTTAAACAGTTGTTACCCACACAAAATTTTTTCCTTAAAAACAACGGATACCTAACGCCATCTGTGAAACAAATTACAAAGCTTATAATAGGCATGAGATGGCGCTGAATCAGTACAAAGCATTTTCGTTTAATAAATATATTTCACAAACTTCATTTATGCCGGCAGTAATAAAAATATATATTTACTAGTTTTTGCCCGCGACTTCGTCCGCGTTAATTTCGTCATTAGTAATATAGGTATAGCTGACCGGGCGAACTCTATACCGTCTTCAATAACCCGGTATTGGTATTTATTAAATTTCTACTGTTTCAATCGAACAGAATGATTGACATATTAGTTAGTTGTCAAGTCTAATGTCAAAAAATCGTTAGTATGGGAAATAGAAAAGGGCTGTTTTTAGGGTTTTCTCGGCAATTATTCAAATTTTTCTCACCTTTTAAACCTTCCCTGGACTTCCAGGAGTATTTCAAGACTAAAATTAGACAAATCGGTTCAGCCGTTCTCGAATTTTAGCGACACTAAGGAACAGCAATCCATTTTTATATACAGGGTGACTGGTGAATTACTATCAATATTTAAGGAGCATACTCGGTACATGATTCTCATTCGAATTATGTAAAAAAAATAGGTACTTAATTTTTGACCAAATTTCCGTATAAATAAATAAAGTGTGTACACGTTCCAAGTGTTCCTAGTGTGGACGCGTGCGGCGGCGTGCTGATACAACAACACGCCGCCGCGCGCGTATGTGTGAGTGTGTAGTGTAGAGTAATCTGTAGGGTGTTCATACGATGCGTAATTAATTACACAACTTTTGGTTAACTTTACTTAGAAGTTTATTAATATTTATGTAATATTAATTTTTATTTCGTCATATATGATCGTCAAATATCACGTCCTCAAATATCGATAGTAATTCACCAGTCACCCTGTATATAGAAGATTTTATAACAATAAGTATTTTAAAACATGACACCTAAATACTATTGTAATTTATACGATTTTATGTTATCAGTACCTATAGTAACTGATAGGATTAATATTTATTGATGTTGAGAATTCAATAATAACTACATACACGCAGATAAAAATAGAATAACTGAAACAGTAATTTTATTCCTAGTAAAGTATTTAATTGATATAATTCGTAGAAATACTCATATAGAAAACTTTAGTCTATTTTTCCAAGTAACTTCAATTTTTAATCAAATAATAATCCGATGAGAAATTGAATCATGTCTTTAAGAGAAGTGTGTGTATTGGAATTATAAATAACTAGCTTTCCGCCCGCAGTTTCGCCCGCGTGGAGTTCGGTTATATCGCGTTTCCAAGAGAACCTCTCAAAAGTCTTTGAAAAAAACTATCCTATGTTCTTTCTTACGGTCAACTCTATGTCTGTACCAAATTTCATTAAAATCGGTTCAGTGGTTTAGCCGTGAAAGCGTAACAGACAGACAGACAGACAGACAGAGTTACTTTCGCATTTATAATATTAGTAGGGATAATAAAGGTGAATAAACTACAAGAAGTATTAAAGTATGTAATGTTGATTTCATTTATAATTGTTTGATGTAACATTTATCTACAACTAAAAAGGAAACTAGACTTAAACGAAATCGAACTTTTTTTGTCTTAACATCATTTTCTTACTTATATATAACTAGCTGCACCTGCGTGGAATTCGGTTATATCGCGTTTCCAAGAGAACCTTTCAAAAGTCTCGGATAAAAACTATCCTATGTTCTTTGTCAAGGTCAACTCTATCTCTGTACTAAATTTCATTAAAATCAGTTCAGTAGTTTAGGCGTGAAAGCGTAACAAACAGACGGACAGAGTTAATTTCGCATTTATAATATTAGTAGGGATGATTGATTTCAATATATATACAATTGTGTGTGTTTGTATTGTATCAGGGAGGGAGCGTACGGCAGTGGTCTGTCTGTGTCACACGACTCAGTGTTCACGGGCGAGCGGTCCGGAGACGAGTCCAGCGATGAGCGAGCCACACACACACGATCACACGTCGCGACGCATCGAGTGAGTAGACACACACACACACACACACACACACACACACACGAAGACATATAAACATACACACACACATACGTAGGCGCATATGCACGTAACATGTAAACACAGCATAAGGAGCCATACTCACACACATACACACACAGACATTCACGTACACATATGTATAAGAACATGCATACTCAGGCACACACATACATACATACATCAACACACACAACAACACAAAATTTTGAATTTAGAAGATTTAGACAAAGTGGAAATATGACTCCAAATATCTCTAGAGTAAGGGACATTCATCATTATGAATCAAATGATGATTTCATCATTATAATAATTTCACCCCTCTCTCCTCCAGTCGGTAGGATACAACATATATCAGCCAGACTTACTCTAAAGAGACAGTTCAGTAACTCTCGACCAAATAAATAATAAGCTGTATAAAATTAGAAAACCATAACAACCAAAGATTTCCAAATACATGACGCCAAACAGCGTGTAGGAAAACATAGCCATCACTAACTTAACAATATACTAGACAGAAAATGTATCGTGTAGATAAATTATTCCCAGAGACTTTTTAGGACACAAACTTAATCATGACAATACAGCTACCGACTCCACGACTTAAAACATAGAAGCCTTCATTGTATCTAGCAACACACAAAAAATATCTGTTTCTTTATAGACAGATAAAAGACTTTAAAATACTGATGTAAAAATTACTTAAGTATATCCTAGTTGTGGTTTAAATAAATCAAAGGTCTAGTTGATAGTCAATAGTCAACTCTTAGATAAAAACCAATTGAATTTAATTACTTAGGTAAAAATTAAGAAAAGAAAATATATTGTTGAGAAACAGAGTTATTTAACAGATACACTCTCACATAAAAGGACTGTTATTTTTAGACGTCTCTATTTAATATAATAAGTTTTAAGCAACATGTTAAAGCTTACAATACCTGGAATATTATGTGAAAATCGTATATTTTAATGACTATAAATAAAGTAATGAAATCTCTTAATTATTCTAAAGTTTATATAGTTCTAGTGTGAACGAATTACAATCATATAGAAAATGCTAAATACAATCGCGGTATTGTTTCATAAAATTTTAAGAATAATAACATGAATTTGTAAAACATACAAAATACATTTTTCATCTATTTGTATCTATGTTTGTCTATTTCTTTGTCATGCTTTGAATGCCAAAAACCGTTGCATTAATATTTCCCTATAAATTGAGCATCCAACCAGGTGAAGAAGAGCTTCTTTTATAATACATGGAACGCCTGTTAATATTCATGTAATAAAAACACTTCAAAAGTATATAACGGCTGTACATAATACCTATTTACAATATAATAACGTTTAAATCAAATATATTGAAAATATAATATGGAATAATCAATAAGACTTGTAGCACACCAGTACATTACTGACCAAAATATCTTTTGTAAAATTTAAACTTTAAAAGTCTTCGTTACATTTCTCATAAATGTATTGAGCGGCAGGCACATTGAAGGTTCTATTTCCGATTTGGAGATCTACAATCTACGAGATGCCTTCAAAATACAGAATCTTTCGATCAATTCTTGGTAGTATACTAAAACTATAGGTAACACATAATAATTTTTTTTAAAATGTATCACGAGTAAGATTGATGTGTAATAAAGTTGGGATATTATATCTTAAAACAAAATAATACATAAAATTTTCTTTTATATATTTTTGAATATCTTTACAAATAATAGAAAACATAATATGAAGTATTTATAGCGGAAGTTTTTTTTATCTGTTTCATAGTGATGTTATTTTCAAAAGGTTTTACGTTCTTAAAATCTTAGCCACCTACAAATAGTTGCGAAGTCGTTAAAACCTATTGAATGAAGGTTGATCTACCAATGTTTTTAGACAAATATATAATTATTTAACATTAAGTAACAGAAAAAATATTATTATTTAAAATTATTTCTAATTAAGTTTATTAATTATTACATATCCACATTTTAAAGATGTTCTAAACTCAATTAGTTCCCAAAATCTCCCATAGATGGCGTAAACCTTAAAATCTCTACACTAACAAATAAATTAAAAGTACATATCAAAATATATTTCGATACTTACAAACTAAAATCAGCTTCATATATATATATATGTTATTTGTAGAAGGAAAAGTAAACAGCAATTATATTTTAATATGTATCTGATTTATCGCGATTCATCTGTAGAAAGTTTATAAAACGCTTTGTCACTAATATGACGGACAACACAGAATAACTCTTGATTTGCATTCAATACAAACATAATAATTACAGTTTAAATACATTACAATATTAAATGTAAGATTTTATATATATACTTCATCCTTCCTTATCAATGTTATGCACTAAGCAGAGCTTAATGGTTACATATATTCTACTAGCTTTTGCCGCGACTTCGTCCGCGTGTAATAGTGACTTCCGGCAGATTTTTGGTTCTTCCCACATAGTTCTCGTTCTTGCGGGGTTTTCGGAATGGTTGAGTTCCCGCAGAATTTTCAGGATAAAACCTAGAAACCTATGTTTTTTTAAATTTACAATGAAGTACTCTAAACCATTAACATATTTATTTGGTTATTTGAATAAAGATTAATATTATTATGTTGATACAACTTAAATTATTTCGACCAAATTAGGTACCATAAAAACGGTTTTTGTGAGTTAATCTTAAAAGATAGACATATACTGTTGCGGACTGTTTTTTAGATCATTAAAAGAGCTATTATTCTTTAATACATATTTTTTGTGTATCTTGAACCGTTTTCACGGCTCACGCAACGGAAGACTTCAAAGATGAAATAATTTCTCCCGTTTTTTACACATTTACCACTATATCTTTGCTCCTATTGGTCGTAGCGTGATGTTATATAGCCCACAGCCTTCCTCGATAACTGGACTATCCAACACAAAAGATTTATTCAATTCGAACCAGTAGTTTCGGAGATTAGCGCGTTCAAACAAACAAACTCTTCAGCTTTATAATATTAGTATAGATTAGCTAACCGGCAGAAAAGTAATAAGTGAATATTTAGATCTGTTCAAATATAAATACAATAAAATAATGTCTTGTAATAAGTACGAGTATATGATTCAAAATAATAACATTCAAATTAAGTGTATTGACATTTTCGCAAAATTATTACATAATATTAATAGTTAAAACGTTTTTATTGTTTTAAAATTAATTAAATTTGTTTATCGATATTCGATAATTTCTGTATCTTAAAACAAGTTAAATGTTCTTTGTTTATATTAGTTACTAGAAGACCTGGCGAACTTCGTATCGCCCTACATATAATCAAGAAATATCTATTACGTTTTTTTATTGTTTTGTTTTGAAGTGTGACAGAATGATTGACATATTAGTTAGTTGTCAAATATAATGTCAAAAAAAACGTTTGTATGGGAAATAAAAAAGGGCTATTTTTATGGTTTTCCCAGGAATGAATCAATTTTTTTCAGCTTTTATACCTACCCTGAACCTCCACGAACATTTCAAGACTAAGATAAGATAAATCCGTTCAGCTTTTCTCGAGTTTTAGTGAGACTAAGGAACAGCAATCCATTTTTTATATATATAGAAGATTAACTAAAAACGGGAAATTTTACTATATAGTGTGCTGTTTCAAAATTGCTGTAAAAATTTTATTATCTTAATTCGTATGTATTTGATGTATTTGGTTCTATTACTATAATAAGCATCTCCTAACAATAATTGGTTTTTTAAGCTATAATAGATAAATATATACTAAGAAAGGAGTATTAATAGCAACGGGATTACAACCTGCGACCTGCGGGAAATCTCGTGACCGTCGCTTTGAGATTTAAACTATCGGACCCGTCTTATAAAATATTGAACTCAAAGTCGCTTATTTTAAATTTAATAATTTTCTTTGTAATAATTCTGTAATAGCGACTGTTTCATATTTTTAAGAAAATATGTTTATTTTTTCGCATAAGTAATGGCAAAAATCTAAACAAACTTTTCTTAACCTACTTGGGTAAAATTTCCGAGTATATGAAAAAAATCTTGAAATTGAATAAATTCTAAATATTATATACAGGTAAATGAGATATTAAATAACTTATTATATATTATGTTGCACTAATATATAATGCTAATGTCTATCTATTTAGCAAAATATAACTAACAAGAAGGAAATTATAATTTTGAAATACAAATTTGTACTTTATGCCATATAATTATAGAATTCAAATTTACTACAACATGTCAATCAGTATCACAGTTAGTGACTAATAAAATAACATCGACACTTAGTGTTTTATATCAATTATTTAATTCCATATATCATCCGGCTTCACCATATTCATACAACCAACACCGTCCTTAATAAAATACATCACGGGAATATAATCTTTATGTTAACTATATATGCGATATATTTGTGTGATAACATTACGTCATTGAAGCTCGGATAACAACTTTTTGTTTTCCTTCCAACGAGATGGGATGAATCATGCAGTCGCCGTCCTAACGCGCCCGCCGACGCCGGCCTCCGCGAATAATATTTTTTTTTCTGCATATTTATATACCAGTGTTTTAATTTTGAGGTTTAAAACAAATATTTTATATATTTTTTTTAATATTAATGACATATAACGTATGTCATTGTCATATGTTCTGATGATTTTGTTCGTAAGTTGTTGGAAGTTGTGTGAAGTGTTAAGTGTAGGAGAGTTTTTGCAAGGCTGGATATGTAATAAATAAGGCGATGTGTAGGTTTAGCTCCAGGCGTAATGCCCATGACTCATACGATGCCAAATCAATAAAAGCTTGGCTGGATGACATTGACATTATTTATTTTATTATACAAAAATACATAGTTTTAATTTAAAAAAATATAAAAATTACACATTTATAGAACATCATAAGATAAGTGATCTCATATTTGATCTATTAATAATTATCGACAGTCTCTAAAAAAGAATCCAGTTTTTACGAAA